CGTACTGTTAGCTTTTGTGAAAGCCATGGTTTATAGGTCAGTTTTCCAAACCTACATATTTTAAGAGTATAAAATGTCCCCACATTTAAAGTATGTGCTGTGTACTTTGTGGAGAAGGCACGTATATAACCCAATGCAATGGAAAAGTTGGCTTTCATCAATTACGCTGCTGACTGGATTTTGTCTTCTTCAGCCACTGGGATTCTAGATCCCTAATGCATTTTTGCTTTGATGAGTCACATCTGTAATACAATCACTATACTCATCCCCACCTCATATACTGCAACACATTTTCCCCTCCAAGATCTGGCCATAGTCATTTCACAAGAGAAATGAAAAAAAAAATGATTAAAAGGAAACAGGACAGACAGTGAGTAAGCCATGAACAACTGCCCGAAGAACTGTAAAACTCCAAGATCATTTCCATGTGTTTCAATTAAGGTTGCCACGAGGGGTGGATAAAGAACTGAAGAGAATATTGATAAAGTCGTATCCATTCCCTCCTTTTGTCAGTGTAGTTAGTTAAAGCCAAAGAATAAGGTACAATAACTGGGGAACTTGTAAAGTTTTAGCACAGAAAAATATCTGGTATAAATCCAAAGCAAACAGTCTAATTTATAATCCTATCAGCCAATCAGACAACATTAAAAGGCACTTTATTCACACATTTTTAACATAAACAGAAAAAAAGGACTAAGGTTGTATAAACAGTAGTCGTCTTTCAAAGGTAAGATAACAAATTAAATGTTTTTCCCTTTCTTATACATCAATTACATTCTATTCTACACAGTTTAGAAATGACTGGTAATAAGAAAAAAACAGATTTGGTAAACATGCCTAGGCAGTTAAAATCTACAAATCAAGCTAACTATCAAAATGTTATAAATAACATTCATAGTGTTAGCAAATTTTTTAGGTTATAGTACATTTTTCTACAAAATCATTTCCTCCATTAAAAGGTGTTATAGGTTGAACTGTGTCACCCCAAAATTCATATGTTGAAATCCTAACCCTTTCGGAATGTGACCTTGTTTGTAATAGGGTCATTGCAGATGTAATTTTGTTAGGATGAGCCCTAATCCAATGCGACCCACGTCCTTATAAAAAGAGGAAAGTTGGACACAGAGAGATACACACAGAGAAAACTCCACATGGCGATGAAGGCAGGGATCGGGATGACATTTCTACAAGCCAAGGAATGCTAAAGATGGCAAGCAAATCTCCAGAAGCTCGGGGGGAGGCGAGGAACATCCTCCCTCACAGCCTTCAGAAGGAACCAACCCTGTTGACTCCCTGATCTTGGACTTCTAGCCTCCAGAACTGTTAGGCAACACAACAAATTTTTGTTGGTTAAGCCACCCAGGTTGTTGAACATTTTTACAGCAGCCCTAACAAAGTAATATAAAAGGTTTCAAAGCATAGCTCATGAGACATAAAACTGACCACATACATTTTTCCTAACAATCTCTTTTGCTCAATAGTGCTTTGCAAAATCAATATATCCTCCGTATGCTTCTCCTCCCCTTCCCACCCCCATTACTGCAGCTATACAAGGCCATGTCCATCAATTTTCTCCAAGGGAATGTATGAAGAAGTGGCATATGGCATATTCAGATCTGGCCCCTAAGATCGTGGCACGCCTCCTCCATACTCCCTTGTTCTCCATCAGCTCATATCTGGACATGGTGACCCACCTTCAGCCATACTGATGAGGTTCATAACGTAAGGAACAGCAGAGCTTCTTTGCAGAAGGAATCTGAGTCTCTGACAGTATGGGAATACTCACCTTAGAATGTTACATGAAAGTAAAATAACTCTGTTCCTTAAACAACTGTATTGCTGGGTTTCTCTGCTATAACAGGTTAGTCTTTTGCCCTAATAGAGTGTCAGGGGAACTAAAATGTTTCAAACACATGCAATAAAGCAGTATACAGAAAATCAGGTAGATCTCTGAAACATTAACTATGGCCGAATGGGAAAAGTTTATGTGCACATATAGTAAACTGAACTACTATTACAGCTTCAAATTTGAGACAATGCATTTCATGATCTTGGTAGTTGTTAAACTACAATTTAAACCCTTTGGGAAATGTACCAATTCTTATTCTTAAAGATATTTTTTAATTTTTTTTTATTGATTTTTAGAGAGAGAGGAAGGGAGAGGGAGAGAGACAGAAAACATCGATGTGAGAGCGAAACATTGGCTGCCTCCTGCACGCCCCCTACCTGGGGCCTGCAACCAGGGCATGTGCCCTGACCAGGAATCAAACCTTTTGGTGCATGGGATGACACTCAACCAACTAAGCACACCAGCCAGGGCTTCTGTCATTTTTTGAATTTCAAAATTTTTCAGTGAGAATAATTAACTTAATAATATTGCTATGACTTTACATATATTCTAAAGGTGCAAATACCAAAGTAACATAGAAAAAGTTTCACACTCCTCCTCCAATCCCCTCTTTGGGGAGAGCCAGTATGAAGCTGGGAAGGTATCCTTCCAGACTTAGATGTGTTTTTTTAATAATACGGTAGTCAAATTTTAAATTCCGCTCCAGAGAGGTTTTAAGTTTGGTTTGTGATACACACCTGGAGTCAAAGCCAAAACACGTTCTAATAAGCACATAGAGCCTCTGAATTTCATTACTCTGGAAGAAGAAAAGTGTTTTTCAAAGATGCTAATGACCAGCAATATGGCCTATTTCTTGTTCTTAAATGTTTCCCCAAATGTCATTACACGAAACTGGAATACGTGTGACTAGGAGGAAGTTCCTGGAGGACAATCCAACCCTTCTCCATTACTTCATTCTACTGTCGATGAACCATAATGTCTATTTCTGTCTGGTCAAAACAGAAAATTACTCTTCTGGAACTTGGGATGTTTGCCTTTTATTAAGTTACAGGTTTTTTCCAGAGTTAAGTATCCAAATCCTATATGGACACTTGTCTATCGGAAGACACTTTCTATCTAATGAATTAAAGAAGAAAATGAGATTAAAACTATTCTCATTTAGTTATTCAGGGACCTCATTAACCTGTAACCACGAATAGAATCTACAATTCCAACTCATAGCGTGTGGGACACACACATGTTCCTGGATTCAAGCATGTGTTCCTATTTAAACTGCTGGAATGTACATAGGGCTCCACAAAGAGTGATAAATATTAGCAAATCTTCTAAGAATGAAGGTCCTTTATGACCACATATGCTGTGTTTTGATTCAGCTTTTAAAATGTCTGAGTCATACAAAGCTGAACCGTCTGCTTTTTACATTTATCTGCAAGTTAAAGAACAATGAAAAAAAATTCCTTCCACAAATATCATCTATTTGTCCCATCACGGCCAACCCAAGACAAATCTGAGATTTCTGCTCTGTCCTGTTTTCTTCCCCTTGTGGCAAGCCTGCCCTAGAGGAAGGCTGGGCATTCCGAAATGCCCAGGTATTAAGGACAAGTTGGATATTAACCAATGTCAGATACTGCCAAGTCAAAGGCTTCAGGCATAGTACATAAAACTTCAATAGCCTGACCCTAAAGCAGGGATGGAAAACTGTGGTCTGGCACATTCTATTTGGCCTACACAGCATTTTTAATTTTTTTTAAATTTTAAAGCCCTTTAGGATAGCGCCCCCCCCCCTTAAAAGAAGGTATTTCATCATATAGGATACTGTAGCTCACCTTGCACTATGAACCCGTCATATGTTATGTGCCAGACAAATGTTTGGAGTATGAGCACCACATAAATTCTTCCACCTCTGAGCCTTTTTAGATTCTGGTTCTTTGCCTAGAATGCCTTCCAACCCACCCAAGCCTACCTCTTCACATGGCTAACGTCCACTCTTCTGAAGACCTCAAGAAGTCCTTCCTAATCTCCTCAAGTCCCAGTTAAGTGCTTAATCCTCCATGGCCCCAGACTCTCCTGCTATTTCTGTGACGATATCACCAGACACCAGACTAATTCCTTTAGGGCAGGGACGATGCCTTGCTCATTTTGGTCTCTCCAGTGTGTAGCACACAGCAGGTGGTAAATAAATATTTTCAGAATGAAGAAATGGCAATATAAGCATCAGCTCTGAAAATATTTGCTTTTAATACTCTTGGCAGAGAATGCAGATGAATGATGAAGTTGACCAAAAAAACAAGTAGATCACACAGAAGTCAAGAGAATAAAGAGCCCTGTAAAGGCCATGTCTGATTACACAGAGGTGTTTTCCCAAGGCTTGATGACCCTCTGCAGCAGTATTTAATCTCATCCATAGTTGCTGCTATATTTTCCCTCTTCCCTTCCCCTAAGGTACCCTACATGTTTGTTCCTACACACACTTTCTAGATCCCAACAGTAAAGACACAAACACAATTAAGCCAAATAAGTAAAAAAAAACAAACATAAACTAGAATCAATTTCTCTGAAACAATAGGCATCTTCCCTTATATAAGACAGTTATTTTAAGAAACTGAGCTGATCAGAATTAGTCAACTGCTCTTCATAGTTTCTCATACTCATTGTTTAATCAGCTCCACTCCTATTTCCCTTTGCTATATGTGATGGCAGACTGTCTTCATTGAAGACCAGAACTTTCAGAGGACACCTGGGGACAGAAGTGACATGGCTACCGACTGTGAGCAAGTAGGTCTAAGGGTACATCTCGCCACAGTCATGCTTACTGGAAATGAGGAAAGCTGTGAGGGACTCCTTCTATGTTTGGGGAAGAGCAAAAAAAGGGAGCAGCAATAAAAGAAGATAATCAGGACAGCATACCTGGCAGCCCTCCTTGTCTCCAAGTAAAAACCTCATTAGATTTGCCCAGAAGGAGCCTTTTTAGAATGGTTAAGTGACACACAGCATCCCACCCTTACCGCGCCCTGAGCATCTCCGGCTATCTTATCAAGAAAGAACCTATTCCCTTTCACATGGAAGGGGAACGTTCAGGGGTTTCTATTGAGATGGGTATGGGTATATTTCTCCTTAATTATCACCAAGGCAGGAGTAAAAAGCAACTTACCTTTTGAAAAAAGTCTTCCCCACTTTTGCCTTTTCCTTCGGCAGCAGCTGTAAATAAAAATGTATACATTTAAAATCGTTCTTTTTTTTTGCAACCTATGAATTCAAAAACTCTCAAGTATCAGGTAGGAGAATCCAGAGGTAAACAAGATGCCATTCTTGTTCTCCCAAACCTCAGTGTCTGCTAACAGGCCTCATCAGGGATACAAAAGGAATAAAGAGTAAAACACTAGTCCAAACAATTACACTTCCAGCTCCTCTTCCTGTCTGACAGACTCACACATCTCTTGTCACACATAGATGAAAGGAATCTCCTTTTATAGTTAAAGAACTATATGAACAAATGCTACCACCAATATAATCAGCTGTAGTGCTCTCAGCACTTCCTGTCTGTAATCAATCCCAGGCCTGAAGCTGCCTTTTCAACCGGGGCTCAGAGAACATGGCCTGCTGAGCTGGGTCAGTTTTATGCTGTGCAATGACTATATTCTTTACTTGGATTTCTGTTGGCATTATATGCTACTTTAATTCACTCCTTCATTGGCTTATATAAAGAAGGGGAAAAACACATCAGAATTAAATGGTAATGGTAACGTCACAGACAACAATAAAACTTCATGTGAGATTAATTAAAAGGTCACTGTATTTGAACAGTCTTTTTATATCTAAGTGGTAGCCTATAAACACAGGACAAACGCAGCTCTTTATGTTCAAACATCTTAAGATTCTGTGAACATGTTTTTTATCTGTGGAGGCAGAGGTGGGAAATGTGACTAAAGGGAGAGAGGGGATTTTATCTTGCTTGCAATAGCCTCAAAGTGCATCCTTCAGAGGATAAACACCAAGGGGGTCTCAGAATCCAGTGCAGAAGAACAGGGATTCGCTGGAAAAGCCTCCCGGGCCTGGACAAAGAAAGGAGCTGGAGCAGTAACTCCTGGAACTTATTAAAATGATTAGAGACCCAAGAAGTAAGGCAGGTCATTCTGTTTGGGGGAGGACTCAAAACTCGAAGAAATTATCTCTACCCTCAAGATAATAACAATATTATAAATTATTTTTTCGCAGGTTTAATGTCACACTTAAATATAAGACAAAACACCTACAATTTTGGGATATGTTTTTATCGATATGTTTTCATCCAAAAAAGAGAGCGCAGAGTACGGGTCTCCGTGCTTACCAAGGGCAATTTTAAGGAATGTATGAAAACAGTAGCTAAAAAAATAAAGAATTAAAAATTATATTCTAATGTGTGGCAGGCTAAATAACACCCCCTAAAAATGTTCATGTCCCAATCCATGGAACCTGTCAATATATTACCTTACATGGCAAAGGGTATTTTACAGATGTGACTAAATTAAAATCTTGAGATAGGAAGATTATCCTAAATTATCCAGGTGGATCCAGTGAAATCACAGGGGCCCTCATAAGAAGGAAGAGGAAAGCTCAGAGTCCAAAAAAAGCAATGTGACAATAAAAAACATACAGAGAAGGGTGTGTGACGACAAACAAGAGAGGTGGAGAGGAGAAAGATACAGATATACTACGCTGCTGGCTTTGAAGATGGCAGAAGGGGCCATAAGCCAAGGACTGTCGGCGGCCTCCAATAACTAGAAAAAGTAAGGAAATGGATTCTCCTTCAGAGCCTCTGCAGGGAGCACAGCTCTGCCAACACCTTGATGTAGCCCAATGAAACCCATTTCAGACTTCTGACCTCCAGAACGTAAGATAATAAATTAATGTTGTATGCCACTATACTTGTGGTAATTTGTTACAGCAGCAAAACACTAATACATAATGCCAATAGCATCTTAACTTTACTTTTTGCACAAATACACCATCAACAGCATGAATCGAGTGCACACATGGACGTGAGCATTTGAAGCACACATTTCCACAGAAAGATTTTTTGTAGTTAACTCTACAGATTCTGACTTTCTCTCCCTAACTTGGAAATTTATCAACATTAAAGCTTTTTAAAAAAAAGCATTAAGAGCCAATTTTAACAACAACAGCTTACTCTTTCTAAATAAACTAGCAAATGTGGTTGATACTAGCTAAAGGGGGTCACCCAGGCAAGGTAAAACATCAGTACCCAAACCTAATGATACAGACTTATTATTAAGTGCCTTGGAGGGACTTCAATTCTGCTACCTCTTGGGCTGTCTTTATCTCTAAAGCTAAAAATAGTTTAAAGGGGTCTAATATATAACACAATTGCATGGCAATGAACACTACATACCAGGACACAACATTTTGAAAAAATTCTAGTGACATCAAGGAAACTCATCTTTGAAAAGAAATTTTAGAATCCAAGATATTTTCAAAAGCCTATGAAGGAAGGCAGCTAATCACCCTTTCACCCACACAGAACTCTTACACAACTTGGAATTCGTCAGTTAAGATTTCATGATACAACTATATTTTATTACAGAAACCTCCTTTAGGACACTTATTTTGTTCATGACAAACTCATTATGTCACAACCTTGAAATGCCCCTACATTCCAAGTCTGAACAGACTTCATAGAATGGCCTTTCAATCCCAGAATGAATAAAAAGGGGGAAATTTCCTTAGTTAGACCCAAGCTATACTTAATTTTGTTCCAGAAAAACAACTAAGATTTAACCAGAAACTTGCACCTTTTAGCAACCTTATGATTTGAGGGGAGCCAAATGGCAAACTCTTTGGCACCAAAAATTGCTGTTCTTTTTTATGCCAAATGTGTATGTCTGAGAAACTCCAAATGTGAGCCTATTTTCCCCTAAATCCTGAGAAGTATCCATTTCCCCAGACCACAAGTGCCCTAGTAAAAAGAATCTGGTTGGATTCTTGGTTAGATCACAGGTACAAACCATGGCTGGTCCCAGTCACTGGCGCTTTGCCGGGAGTGTTCTTACCTAATTCCCAGGTTACCAGGTCTCCTGCAGGACTTTTACTGACCACACCCAAGCAAAGCTGTCAAGGCCAAAAAAGCCAATCAAGGGAGAATAATATTTCACCAGAGTATTCTCTCCCCAGACAGAAATCCTTCTATGCTCAAATATGAAAGTGCAATTCTCAAACTTATTCTAAAATCCTTAATATCAAAATACAAACACTGTGAAGAAGTGAGAGACTGGGAAGAAGGAGCTTGGGGAATATTTTTTTCTCAATAGAAACTTAGGTATTTTTTTTTCTGAAAAAAAAATTATTATTTTTTCTTTATTAACCCTACCAGACTGCTGTACCGATTTTTCGGTACTTTCCACACAAAGGTGGAATATTGGCGCTAGATGAAAGGTAGACCTATTTTCTACAATGTCTCCAAGTTCCATCTTATTCTAACCACTTGTTTGCATGTAACTAACATTTTTCTATATCATGTTGGTTTTTTCTCGGATTAAGGTATTACATATGTGTCCTTATCGCCCCATTGCCCTCACACACCCCCACTCATGCCCTCACCCCCCTGGTGCCTGTGGCCATTGGTTATGCTTATATGCATGCATACAAGTCCTTTGGTTGATCTCTTCCCCTTACCCCCACCCTCCCCTACGTTCCGAGGCTTGACAGTCTGATCGATGCTTCTCTGTCTCTGCATCTATTTTTGTTCATCAGTTTATGTTGTTCATTATATTCCACACATGATTGAGAGCATGTGATATTTATCTTTCTCTGATTGGCTTATTTTGCTTAACATAATGCTCTCCAGGTCCATCCATGCTGCTGCAAATGGTAAGAATTCCTTCTTTTTTACAGCAGCGTAGTATTCCACTGTGTAGATGTACCACAGTTTTTTAATCCACTCATCTGCTAATGGGCACTTAGGCTGTTTGCAAATCTTAGCTATGGTGAATTGTGCTGCTATGAACATAGGGATGCATATATCCTTTCTGATTGGTGTTTCAAGTTTTTTGGGATATATTCTTAAAAGTGGCATCAATGGGTCAAATGGGAGATCGGTCCATTTTTAGGTATTTGCGGAAACTCCACACTGTTCTCCACAGTGGCTGCAACAGTCTGCATTCCCACCAGCAGTGCACAAGGGTTCCTTTTTCTCCACATCCTCACCAGCACTTGTCATTTCTTGAT